AGCTAAAATAAATAGTTTAATTTAACAACATCATTCCATTCCGTGTTATCGTTTTGTAAGCGACGTCGTCATAGCGCTTTGACTAAAGGGCGCTCTCTGTATATATAAAATGCAATTAGATAATTACGATAATTGTCATGGTTATTATAATTACGTCATGAGTTGAAGAATCCGCTCGGCCCACTTGCTGAGCGGTGCGAGCCGCCCTCGGCCCACAGAAGTGGACATTGCAGAGCTAAATCCGAGGCTCGTTTCAGAATCGGAACATTTCTTGATTCGGGAATCCGATGAGCTATAAAGCTTTTATTTTTTTTCCCCCCACAGATGTCCAGTCAGCGGCACAGGGTATGAACGTCACAACAACGGACAATCCTACAAACACGACAGCCGTGCAAAGTACAAGACAACAAACCAACCACGCACGTGGACACGACCACACCTCCCCCCCCCCCCAAACTCGCCCGTAGCTTTGGCCAATCTTCCCCGATAACCGCGGTGGCAATGGCGCAACCGTGGAACCATCGTTATCCACACGCCGACGATGACATTGGGGGGTGGTGGGTGGGTTGGTGGGTAGGGGGGCAGGTATAAGAGGGGAGGGAGAGGTTTGGGGGGGCGGGCAAGGCACCCCCCCCCAACACGCGCGTCACGCGACTGAGATCGGGGGTGACACCCACGGATGTGCTCCTGCGCAATTGAATCTCAAAAAACGCGAGTGTGTCCGCGGAGAGGCAACAAGAGACGACTAGAGAGCGAGCGAGCGAGAGAGAGAGAAAGGAGACTTGACTTTTAAACAACTTTTATTGCCGCCAGCAGCAACAGCACTGGAGGCGATTTCGATATGAAATACACAAAGTCACCAGCAACACAAATGAAAATAAACGTTACAATTCCACGCGCTGTGGCGCCAAATGCAGCGCGCACAACACGAAAGAAAAGTCACGTGGTGGTGGTGGTGGTGGTCATCGCGCACGCCACAGTGACGAGCGAGCGCTTCAGAACGTGAACATGAGAGAGGAGAGAGCGGATGCGTAGGGCCAATCGAGCGACAGGGAATCTGGGCACGATCTCTCAAGATCAGGACGGGGAGAGGTTGGGCAATCGTGCCCCAAAGCTGGTTGTAGCATAATTAATGTTTTTTGGGGTTAGATCGCGTTAGTATAAATGTGTCGTTAACCCCTCCACTACCCGACACAGCCAATGAGTAAGGGATTTGTCACGTAATCAAAACGCCAATTAGTTTACTATTTCAGCACACCGGTGTGCTGGAGAGTAAATCCACAACATTCACAAATTGAGTAGTAATGTGGCGTTTCGCTCGTAATTACATCCAGCACCATCGGGCGATTTGCCAGAACAGTGAAACAATCCACCTGCTTCCGGCCTTGAATAAAATAAAGAAAAAAAAACCTTTACTATGAATAATATTGGTCGCGAAAGCCTACGTGTTAAACTGGTCGCATCGCATGCGCGGGTGCGGTTTCTCCCAGAACTGCGACGACAGTGGGAGTTTGTTGCCTTGCTCAAGATACACCGCGTGATGGTGGGAGAAACATCGCGTTAACCTAAGTAAAGTGTAACATGGGGAGCGAGATGCGTAACGCAGGCCGAATCAAGGCCAAGGCGCCGTGGGTAGCGTCTAGAAACATCCATCAGCATCCCACTACCTTTGCGCGATGATTATGATGATGATGATGACGATGCTTCTACGCCGAAGCGGCCACTGCAGCCGCTTATTCCTACCCGCGCTGCGACGCAGTTCCGTTCGCTCGATCGCGTTATAACCAATCCGCGTTATAACAGCGTCTGTTCCCGAATTACGTTAGTCGCGTTCCATATCCGATTCGCGTCATGACAACCGCACGGCGTTATAGGACAACAGACTGTTGAACTTCTTCCGCAACGCACGCAGTCAATCGGAGGTGCGGGGGGAGGACAATGAACTAAACACAAGCAATCGGTCGTAAAGAAATGAGCGTGTCAATGTTTCCGTGTTAAAAGTCCCCAGCGCCTGTGGCTTACTCACGCGGGAAGGAAGAGCGTTCCAGACGGCCGCAGAAGCGCATCTGGAAGGGCCGTGATGCGAACGTCACCCGCCTTCGTTCGATGGCCAGAAGCCAAAAGCTGCTGCTGCTGCTGCTGCGAGGATGACCGGAGTTCACGTGATGGTGGTGGTGGTGGTGATTTATGCTTCTTGACGAGATCAGCAAGGCATTGTGGTTCATTTGTGGCAAGCGCTTTGTGCGTGTAATGAGCGCGGTGACCTTATAACAACGCATTAGTTCGGCAACTGGCAGCCGATGGAGCTTCGTGAGCACCGGACAGACTCCGGACAGATCCTGCAGTAGAATGATGTCACAACCACAGGCCACCACCACCACCACACTCCACACCCTCTGCCAGATCCCACAGCTGCTGTTGCTACTGCAAAGCAGAGATGCGTCGACCTCCAAGAAGCACCCTGGCTCGGTCTGATTCAGCGGAGTGAACCCGCGAAGAATTCCCCTCTAAGCTCTGCGGTCATCAACGTATTAAGGTGTTCTCAGCGGACGAACGAGTGTTTAATACGTGTGGGAGGAAACACGCGTGCGAGGGGGAAACACTCTATCCCCCCCGCCCCGCCCCCCCCCCGTCCTCGTACAGACGGAAGTGATGGGAGTCCGCATCTTATGCTGTGACCGCCTTCTCCTGGCAGAGAGCCGGGGTACGGCTCCTTCAGGACACCCACGTGAATTGAGTTTCAACGTCAATGTCCACGGTGGGTTGGCATGAGTTAGAGTAACTAGTTAGTATAACCAGCAGGGTTATTGATATCATGGGTCCCATGGTATAGCTGCTCAGCCCGAGCTATGCATGCTCTGACACGTGTGGCATTGTCTTTGTGCTGTTCGCCTTTTGGCGTTGTTCTCTGCTCTGACGCTGGTGGTGAGACTGGGCCCTGAAGAAGGCTGCTGTGTCTGCTGTAGGCCATTCGGTCTCAAAGACAACGCGTAGATTATTCTTATCTGCGTGCTTCGGTAATTATCAGAGCACGTTGTGTTTGCATGTTCACCACAAGTTCAGTGTGGAGGGGCTATCGCAGTGCTTGATTACTTGCAAAAGGCAAATATATGTGTGGTGTCCGAACATCCGAACAGAACTACTGTTGTATTTACAGAAAAGGTTAAGACACCTATTATTATTTTTGCCAGGGCTATTAATATATTTTTGGTGGGGGGGGGGGGGGGTTATATCAACGGAAACCGATTGAAAAAACCGTTAAAGAAGCGGTTACCGGTTACTAAAATGTCTCGCACAATGACCATCCATCGTGCGGTGTTACGAGTCGCGGGGTTGGTGATGGTGGTGTTGGGTAAATGTCCCACGCGGTGACCGCAGCCGCCGTGCCGGTTGTTACGTCCGCGCGTGCCAATCGGAGTCGGGGTCGCGCTCGTTTACGAACATGACCCACCAGGAACGGGTCATCGGCAATCGATCCCGGTAATCGGTCGCACGGGTTGCACCGCTAGCCGGTCGCAGCAGTTGCACCGTTAGCCGATTGCACCGGTTGCACCGTCAACTGGTCGCACAGGTTGCACCGGTTAACGCCCAAATCCGGGAGCGCACAATTATGCAGATCCTGTCATGGTCCACCAACCCCTGCATTGAATATTGCAGGATGCGAAGGGGATTAGGGGGTGGGAGGGGGGGTCTGAATGTGGCTGTGCATAGCCACACTCAGACTCCAGTGGGGACGATTATCTGGACCGGTTCTGGGCCTCCTCTAGGTCGACTCAGCCTCAAACGAGTGCCTGGCGCGGTGGGTTAACATCGCCACGACTGTTACTTTATAATTTTTTGACCTGTTAAGGCCCACTGGGCTGCTACCATAGCTCTCTTTTGAGAAGCGTCCTGGCCGTCACAGATGATGTGTCAGCGATGTGGTTCATCACCGTCGTGTGGAAGTGCAGAAATTGTCTAAATTGCGTGACGCTCATTCTAAATGTGGAAGGGGGAATAACCCGGAGGACCCAGAGAAAAAAAATCCACAAACATTCAGGCGCCGGGGTCGGGATCGAACCTCGGCACCTCCTGTATACCAGACGAGGTAGTCGACATCTCGCCACCACTAGGGAGACAAAGGCGGACCGGGCGTGGTGCTGGCCCACGCAACTGCTGCTGCTGCTGATGGCTCACAGCACTTACCCGGAACAGTCTGCTAAGGCTATGCGGGGGATCTTTGCCTTTGCCGTAGCTTTGCCAGACCAAAACATCACTCCAAGGCAATGTGAGTGGGGGATGGTAGCCGTGCAGTGATGGGAGGTAGGGAACTCATGGGGGAGATGGGGGGGGTGGGTGATTGGGTGGGTGGGTGAGTGGGGGAGGGAGCGAGTGGAGAGTGCGTGCGGGTGGAGGGCGGGGGGAGCGGTGGCGCAAGTGGTTAGCGCGCTGCGCTGCTCTACGAAACCTGGGACAAGACAAGTTCGCGATTCGCGCTCACGGTCAACACCGGTGATGATTATCCTGAACCGGTTCTGGGCTCCCCCCCCCCACCCACCACCCCTCTATGTCGACTCAGCCTCAAATTAATACTGTCGTAAACATCAGCACCGGGGGAGACAAAGGCGGCCCGGCGTGGTGGGTGTTGCGTCGTACCCCACCCACCACACCCGTGCTCCGTTTCGGCCTTCATTGCTAGGGGGTTTCTATTAGCGAGCGGCACTCGCCCTTTGCAGTCCGTCAAAAAGGCTATACGGGGGACCTTTGTCTTTGCGTTGGTGGGTGGGGTGGGTGGGAAGTTGGTGGGTGGGGTGGGTGGGAAGTTGGTGGGATGGGTTTTGTGCTTTGTGAGGCAGGGTAGGGGGAGCGATCCGATTGGTCGGTGGGAGCGAGAGTGTGAGAGGGAGGGAGAGAGAGTGTGAGAGGGAGGGAGAGGAGAGAGAGGAGAGAGAGGGGGGTGGGGGAGCAAGGGGGAGGAGAGAGAGAGGGGAGAGTGGGGGGAGCAAGCGAACAGAGAGGGGGGAGAGAGAGGGGAGAGAGTGCAGCAGAGACAGAGACGGGAGGGAGGGAGAATCGTTCTGGATCCGCGCTCTGCCGGTAGCAGCGCGCAGCGATCTGCAAAAGCGCGTCTATAGTGAGACCTCACACGCATACACACATAGCCTACACACATGGCTTACACACACAGCATACACACATAGCATGCACACATAGCTTATACACACAGCATACACACACAGCATACACACATAGCTTACACATAGTATACACACATAGCATACATACATGCATAGGATACACACATTGAACACTCACGCGTTCACAGACGCGCATGCAGAGATCCACACAGACACAGAGAGATACGTGCATGTGTACGCAAGCGTCAATGCACAGGTAACCCATAGACTCATAGAGTTGACACGCAGAGAGGGGCATGGGCGGGGAGCGGTGGCGCTGCGGTTAGCGCATTTCGCTCGGTTCAGTTGAGAGACAGACACGGATGCGCACACACGCGCGTGTGCGTACACACCTGCACAGACGCACAGACACGCGCGTACACACGTGCACACGCAGACGCGTACACTCATATACACACAACGAAAGGCATGGGCACATACAGAGATTTATTTGAAGCACAAAGATCCCCCGTATAGCCTTGACGGACTATAGGGGCGAGTGCTATTAGCGAGCACCTATGAAGGCCTATAGACACACGCAGACACACACCGTGAGAATCGTACACAGACACACATGGACACACGTAAACTTACATAGACACACCTACACAAACGTAAACACACATAGATATATTACATACACGGTTTGATAATTGCATACACACAGGTACAGGCGCATAGACACACATACACACAAAGACGAGCGGATACACAGGTACATAGATATACACAGAGAGACACACATAGACACAGGACTAGGCACATAGACACACACACGCAGAGAGATACACACACACACATAGATGCATACGCACTTAGACACACTGTCACGGAGATGCGCACACACACACACAGATACACAGAGACAGATACACACACAAACACAGATATACACAGATACACACACAGAGATACACACACACGGATACACACACACAGATACACACACAGAGATACACATAAACCCACAGATACACACACAAACACAGAGGTACACAGATACACACACAGATATACAGACACACACATACAAAGATAAAAAAGATCCCCCGTGTAGCCTTAACAGACTGTAGGGGCAAGTGCTGTTAGCGAGCACCTATGAAGGCCGGAACGGTACACGAGGGGGTGGGTGGCCAGCACCACGCCCGACCGCCTTTGTCTCCCTAGTGGCAATGTTTACACACTGCACCAGGTACTCATTTGAGGCTGAGTCGACCTAGGGACCGGTTCAGATAATCGTCACTGGTGTTGGCCGTGAGCGGGAATCGAACCAGGTTCATAGCGCAGCGCGCTAACCGCTACACATACGCACACAGAGAGATATACACACACGCAGATATACAGACACACACGCAGATATACAGACACACACAGAGATATATATACACACACACACGCAGATATACAGACACACACAGAGATACAGACACACACAGATACACACACAGATACACACACAGAGATACACACACACACTCACAGATACACACACACACACTCACAGATACACACACAGAGATATACAGACACACACAGAGACAGTGTAAGGAATCTCAGGTCTCATTTGGCTTCTCTGCTCTCAGCAGCCGGCGACCGGATTAACTCACCTCGGAACCTGGAGAGTCCACAGACACGGGGAGACGACAACGAGCGGAGACTCCGGCTGAGACTCCGGCTGAGACTCCGGCTGAGAGAGACGACGACAGAAGAGCGGAGACCGCGTTACCCGGCCAGGCGCTCCTTTCGGTGAGTTTGTGGTGTGTGCAGTGAGTGTGTGGTGAGTGTGGTGTGTGGTGAGTGTGTGTGGTGAGTGTGTGTGGTGAGTGTGTGTGGTGAGTGTGTGTGGTGAGTGTGTGTGGTGAGTGTGTGTGGTGAGTGTGTGTGGTGAGTGTGTGGTGAGTGTGGTGTGTGGTGAGTGTGTTGTGTGTGTGTGTGGTGTGTGTGGTGAGTGTGTGTGGTGAGTGTGTGTGGTGAGTGTGTGTGGTGAGTGTGTGTGGTGAGTGTGTGTGGTGAGTGTGTGTGGTGAGTGTGTGTGGTGAGTGTGTGTGGTGAGTGTGTGGTGAGTGTGGTGTGTGGTGAGTGTGTTGTGTGTGTGTGGTGTGTGTGGTGAGTGTGGTGAGTGTGTGTGGTGAGTGTGTGGTGCGTGGTGTGTGTGGTGTGTGTGGTGAGTGTGTGTGGTGAGTGTGTGTGTGTGGTGAGTGTGGTGTGTGGTGAGTGTGGTGTGTGGTGAGTGTGTGTGGTGAGTGTGTGTGGTGAGTGTGTGTGGTGAGTGTGTGGTGAGTGTGTGTGGTGAGTGTGTGTGGTGAGTGTGTGTGGTGAGTGTGTGGTGTGTGGTGTGTGTGGTGAGTGTGTGTGGTGAGTGTGTGTGTGTGGTGAGTGTGTGGTGTTGTACTGTGGCAGGAGATGGACTGTGTACTGTGGTAAAGGCAGTTGTACTGTGGCAGGAGATGGGACTGTGTACTGTGGTAAAGCCAGTTGTACTGTGGCAGGAGATGAGACTGTGGTACTGTGGTAAAGCCAGTGGTACTGTGGCAGGAGATGGACTGTGGTACTGTGGTAAAGCCAGTGGTACTGTGGCAGGAGATGGACTGTGGTACTGTGGTAAAGCCAGTGGTACTGTGGCAGGAGATGGGACTGTGTACTGTGGTAAAGCCAGTGGTACTGTGGCAGGAGATGGACTGTGTGCTGTTGTAAAGCCAGTTGTACTGTGGCAGGAGATGGGACTGTGTACTGTGGTAAAGCCAGTTGTACTGTGGCAGGAGATGGGACTGTGTACTGTGGTAAAGCCAGTGGTACTGTGGCAGGAGATGGGGCTGTGTACTGTGGTAAAGCCAGTGGTACTGTGGCAGGAGATGAGACTGTGTACTGTGGTAAAGACAGTTGTACTGTGGCAGGAGATGGGGCTGTGTACTGTTGTAAAGCCAGTGGTACTGTGGCAGGAGATGAGACTGTGTGCTGTGCTAAAGCCAGCTGTACTGTGGCAGGAGATGGGACTGTGTACTGTGGTAAAGGCAGTTGTACTGTGGCAGGAGATGTGCACTGTGTGTTGTGGCAGAGACCATTCGTACTGTGGCACGAGATGGATTGTGCTGTAGCCTGTGTGGGGCAATATACCGTGGCAATGCTAATTGTACGGTGGCAGGAGATGAACTGTGTGCTGCGGCAAAAGCCAGTTAGTTGTGGTGTGTGGCAGTAGATGGTGCTGCGTGGCTAAGGCGAGCCACACCGTGGCAGATTCGAGCTCTCGAGTCGATTTCGTGTTTGTGCACGGCGAGAGGAGAGGTCAGGGAGAAGGTCTCGTTTCCAAAGCGGCCGATGCTGGGGCTCCCGAAAGTAGTGGACAGGACGAAGCAAAAATGAGAAATGGGCACATGAGCGACTACTGCTGTGTCGTCACATTGCTCTTCCGATCTCTTATCTGCTTTTTTTTATGTTTCGTGTGTCAGTGTGTGTGTAAACATCGCCACTGGGGAGACAAAGGCGGCCTGGCGTGGTGCTGGCCACCCATCCTCTCGTATGCCGTGCCGGTCTTCATAGGTCCTGCTCGCTAACAGCACTTGCCCCAACAGTCTGTTAAAGGCTACACGGGTGACTTTTGTCTTTGTCACATTCGCTGTGTCACGTGGGAAATGGGGGCGAGAGAAAAAAAGATATTGCACGGACATCATAAATCAATGTTAAATAACGCATGCCCCCTATAGCGTAAGTCGGTTTGGGACGGGCTGTACTGTGGCATCCGGGACTACTTTTGCGGGGATTGGAACGACACTGATGTGGCAGGCGGAGGGGTCTGTGCTGTGGAAAACAACACTTGTGCTGTGACCAAACCTGCCTCCATCTGTACTGTGGAAACTCAAGCACGACCGTGGCACTTGAATCTGTACTGTGGAAGGGAAGCCAGATGTGTACTGTGGTGATTGAAGCTGTACTCTGGCAATTGAATCGGTACTGTGGCAAATGCATCGGTACTGCGGCAAATGCATCGGTACTGCGGCAATTGAATCGGTACTGTGGAAATTGAATCTGTACTCTGGCAATTGAATCTGTACTCTGGCAGTTGAATTTGTACTGCGGCAATTGAATCGGTACTGTGGAAATATAATCTGTACTCTGGCAATTGAATCTCTACTGTGGCAATTGAATCTGTACTCTGGCAATTGAATTTGTACTGTGGCAATTGAATTTGTACTGTGGCAATTGAATCTGTACTCTGGCAATTGAATTTGTACTGTGGCGATTGAATTTGTACTGTGGCAATTGAATCGTTACTGTGGCAATTGAGTCCATACTGTGCCAGGATTCTCCGTGTAGCTATGTGTGTGCTGCTTTGCTGGGGAGCAGTAGTGTAGTGGTTAGCGCGCTGCGCTACGAACCCGGCGATTGTCTGAATTGGTCATAGGCCTCTCCAAGGTCGACTCAGCCTCAAATGAGTACCTAGTGCGGTGCTCAACCATCGCCACTGGGAAGACAAAGGCGGCCGAGGCGTGGTTCTGGCCCACCCACTCCGTCGTGTGTCGTGCCGCGCTTCTTGGGTTGCTACTCACTAACAGCGCTGGTTCCCAACATGCCTGTCAAGGCTATACGGGGGATCTTTGTATATACAGTATACGTAATTGGGTCTATGGGGAGCGGTGGCGCAATGGTTAGCGCATTGCGCTGAAAATCCCCGCGAGCCTCGCACACCCGAGTTCGATTCCCGGCCCAGCAACGAGCATCCTGTTCCTCTCGCCTCCAATCTATCCATCCAGCAGTGGATTGACGAAGGGCTGTCGCATTAATATTGCGTTTGCTCCGTGTGCATGTGCTGGTGGTATATCCACGTGTGTACCATTGTAGATGGTGGCGCAGTGGTTAGCTCACTCGGCGATGAACGTGGCTGAGAGTTCAATTCCTGTGCCACGGCCAAAGTGAGTGATGCGTGATCGCCTAGGTCGACTCAGCCTTAACGAGCACCGATCTTTGTGCGCGAGTCGCGAACAAGGGGGTCGCTGCACGTTTCGAGAATGGCAGCGCATATGTCATAACCCTAATGTGCTCAGATCATTAAAATCGATGGATTTTTTTTTAACCCTGCTCCGGGCCAACCCCTATGCAGACTCAGCCTGAAATGTAAATGTCCCTAATGCCTCGGCGGAGGCGGTGGAGGCGCTGGTGGATGGTGCAGGAGGAGGGGGAGAGGGGGAGCGGTGGTGCAGTGGTCACAGCGCGCTGCGCTACGAACCAGGCGAACCGAGGTTCGATTCCCGCTCACAACAACCAACACCAGCGGCTGCTGTCGGAATCGGTCGCGGGCCTCCTGCGTTAGTTCGACCCCGTTTCAAAAGAGTTTACACATCGTCGCCGGGGAGACAAAGGCGGTCGGGCGTGGTGCCGGCAAACCCACGCCCTCGTGTGCCGTGCCGGCCGTTCATAGGTGCTGCTACTCTCTAGCACAGCACTTGCCCCAACAGTCTGTTAAGGCTACACGGCGCGGATCTTTGGTGGCGGTGCGATCACAACAATCCGAGGCCCTCCCTCGCCGGGGAGACAAAGGCGGTCGGGCGTGGCCCCTACCATAGCGACGGCTAGAGTCGGTGCTCGCGACTCGCTGCTTTCGACTGCACGCACCGGGTTCAACCTTCTTTGTGTGCGCTGTTATATTTGTTGTCGTTGTTATATTTGTTGTCGTCGTTGTTGTTGTTGATGATGATGATAACACCATCGATGTGCGGGGAATAATTTCCATCCAGCAGTGGATTGACCGTGGCTGTTGACGACGGCGGTGACGGGAGGGGGTGGGTGAGGGTGTGATGAGCGCTTTGTCTTCGCGAGCAGCACGCACTGCGTGTGCGCGTGTGTGGGGAGCGGTGGCGCAGTGGTGAGCGCGCTGCACTGCGCTGAGAACTCCGGCGACCCGAGTTCGATTCCCGTTCACGATCGCTAACAGTGGCCAATATCTGAACCTGGCCTGGGCCTCCCCCACTTGGTATCTGGTGCGGTGTGTAATAAGCATCGGGACTGGGGAGACAAAGGCGGCCGGGCCTGGTGCTGGCCCACCCCACCCCTTTAACGTGCCGTGCCGGCCTCCGTGGGTAGCTCCTCGCGAACAGCACTTGCCCCAACAGTCTGTGAAGACTATACGGGGGATCTTTGTCTGGTGCGTGGGGAGCGATGGCGCAGCGGTTAGCGCCGGGCTCCGAACTCCGTCGAACCGCGCTCGATTCCCGCTCGAAGCCAAACAACGCCGGCAGCCGCCTAAACCGGTCCCGAGCCCTCCATTAGGTCGACTCAGCCTCAACTGCGGAGTACCCGGGTGGCCGGGCCCACCCGCACTCCCACCTCGGGTCTTCACAGGTGCCCCCCGCGAGCAAGCACGTGCCCCCCCCCCCCCCGCCCGCCCCCCCCCCCCCACCACCACCACCACCTCCACCAAAGCAGCCTGTTAAAGGCGTTGCTGCGTTGAAGGGCATCTTTGTCTTTCATAAAATAGTTTTTTCGGGGGTTGGATCGCGTAAATAGCAGCGAGCATCGTCAGGCGCTGAAGCGAGTTGGCGAAACGTCGTACTCAGATTGTAAATGTTGTGGCTTGGCTCTCCAACATACAACCGGTGTGGCTGTACTAGTGACGAATTGGTCACTTTCTGTTTACGTGCCGAGTCTTGCTAGTTGGCTGTGTCGGGTGGTGGCGGGTTTTAACGACACATTTTTTATTTATTATATATATTTACGCGATCTAACCCAAAAAAGAGAGAGACCCTCTCTTGCGG